ATATAATTGTTGAACAACTCAATCGTTGTTGAATACATATATTTGTTGAACAACTCGATTGTTGTTGAATACATATATTTGGAGTATTTAGAAAAAAGTCATATTGGCAACACAACGTTAGCAATACAAGAATTTCAAGACTAATATGTTTTATTAGCTATCTAGGATAACCTCGTTATCATTTTTTGTGATAAAATTGGTATATTGTGTATTTTTTTCTTATAGCTGACTAGGCTTTACAGTTTCCTGAAAATCTTAGGGTTAAAGAACAATGCACAATTCTGTTTGGTGTACTCATCTCATTCACATCCAAGTACGAAATTTATAATACATTGAATCTTGTACGTAGAGTTTATTATTGTCTCCTTTGAACTTATAGAAATTTTCTAACTTATTAATAATATCTTCTTTAAAAATATACAATAATAATCTGTTATGTAAGACATTGTGACTGAATAGCGCCAAGCTCTCTGTCGTAATAACAAACTATAAACAAACTATAACAAACTATCTAAAAATTGAACAAACAGTTTTCATACCAGGTATACCATATAAAGCTAGCTTGCTTGACGGTCTATCATTAGTAAGTTCCATTATAGGGTTTACAGTGAAATGTTGACTAGAAGAGTCTTATAGAAGATGGCCACCCACTGTCCAATGCAAGTGTACACACTATTTTGTTTTTATCTTTGACATAAATAAAAATTATTTCATTTTGTATAATATATCATGTCGTCCCCCGGTAGGATAGTGGTAAGTCTATGGACTTACAACGAAAATATCCGGGGTTCGATTTCCCGCAGTGGTCTCGTGTGGTTTTTCTTTAAAACAACAAACACGCGAAGCAAACACATCAGTTAGTTTAATTAAATCCAGATGTACTTTATAATATTTTGAGGTAATCGATTAATCTGAGAATACCGTATACTTAAAAAATTTATGTTAGAATGTTATCTCTCAAGTTTTGCACATGGATACTGTTGACTGACTTTAATTCCAAGAACTGTGAATAATAATACGCCCTAAAACAGTTAGTAATTAAATACTCAGCAATAGTGAAAACATCCAACTTATTCCTGAATTTAGAACTAGGCACTGATTAATGATAAATGATTTATTGCGTTAAAGTTGTATTCATTAATTTAAACTTGTCTTATTTATGTTTCTTGTTCAAAATATATGTACCCTAACAAACATGTTTCGATTTTGTTAAAGACATTTTTGTATTTATAATACCAGAAGGTTATTATACCCATCCTAACTAATGTTCCCTGTAGGCCATCTTTAGCAAATTTTAACTAACTTTTAGTCTGTTATTTTTCCTTTTGTTCGTTAATAGTTAGCGAGACTGATGCACACAAAACGTCTCCTTTTCTCCTATATTAAACTTTGCGTAAATGAAATACATAAAAATAAAAACACTAAAGGAAGGCTGGAGCTTTAGTCTTAAGTATAAATCCCATCATATAACTTGAGTTGCTATGATCCTGGTGATGATTTCAAACCTTTCTTGTTTCGTTAAAAGTAGTAACCGCGTATTTTTTTTAGTAAAAGGGCCTGTCTGGTGTAAGGTAAGACAACCGTATTAAGAAGACTTAAAGTAGTACTTTAAAACAACTAAATCTGCTTAAGAGAATGTCTGTTATGCTCTACTAGACGTGTAGGTTAACTTAGGAAACTCACATCGACACAACAGAATAAACAAACTAACTAGATATGAATTCTCTTCTTTTTTTTCAGTTGTTTTATTTTTTAGGTAAATTAATCATTATAATACCTTATAGTACTGATCGCATTTCATTTTATAATAGAATTTTTTAAAATTATAGTACATCTATACAATAGATCACAACACATAGCTTGCAGTAAGAGTTTCATGCGACATTTGTTATATAAGCAAACCGTAAGATGTTGGAAGAAGTAATGATACAGGATTTTTGTTATAAATTAGATACCGTTGAAAGTTATACGAGTTAGAGATAAACAAAATCTTCTTTATATGACCAAACTGTAGATTCTTGAAATGTTTAATCATAAATATTTTTTTTGTATAGTTAATACCCTAGGCTGTTTTACACATTGGTGATAAAAGATTTTATATACCGATAACTTTAAATATTATAAAAGATTAAATATTTTTGCTATACACTGGTACTCTAGGTTATTTAGTTGGGTTGAGGATAATGAACATTTTTTATCAATAACATAGATAATTATAACATTTAGAAACCAAATAATTCTTCGCTATACTATGAAGCAATTTGAAACAGCCTGGAAGAACTTTTAGATGGCGTTCCCCGTTGCCCAAGATTATACTATTATCAAAATCACATCCGTTTAAATAGATTCCTTGTTGTTGGAAGCACCGTATGATAAATATTTGGATATTAAAGTTGCCATTTGCACTAATTATATGTAAGTCCAGAAACAACTGTAACACTTGTATGACAATTTTATGTTAAAATACTTGACCGAGAATTTGTTTATCGTTTGTTTGTATTTCGCGCAAAGCTACACGAGGGCTACTTTGCGCTACCCGTCCCTAATTTAGCAGTGTAAGACTAGAGGGAGGGCAGCTAGTCATCACCACCCACCGCCAACTCTTGGGCTACTCTTTTACCAACGAATAGTGGGATTGATCGTCACATTATAACGCCCCTACGGCTGAAAGGGCGAGCATGTTTGGTGGTATGGGAATTTGAACCCGCGACCCTCCGATTACGAGTCGAGCGCCCTAACCACCTGGCCATGCCGGGCCCTTGACCGAGACCACAAATTTGTTTGTTCAAATTCGATGATGAGTTTGTTTGTTGTTAAGTACAAAATGTGCTAGCTGTGCTGTGTTACTCACAGGTATGAGACAGCACACACGTAGAGCGAAACGTTGGCCACATGTAGTAATTAAAACAAAATTAAAAAGACAAATAAGTATTCAACCCATATTCGTTATCAGATTGTCAAAAGAATTTACAAACTATGTTGTCTCAATGTTGTACTTCGTGCGTAATAACCCAACTAAATAACAAGTGATAAATATAACAGTGAGCGATGTGAACAGACAGAAAATCCAGGAAGCGATGATGTTGTCTAATAGTTATTTATTTTTCTAGGAATTGTGTGTTCACATGATATTTAATAACTTAGTCGCCGATATTTCAAAGAAGTTTTCTATCTTTCTTTCTCTCTTAAACATTAATTATTATTTTCCATTAAAATATTTTTTTTCCTGGCCATGATACTGAGTAGTAATGTAAGTGTAAATTCTTCATGGAATAGGGAGAAAATGTTCAAGAAATAGGTATTAGTCCTTGTTGATATTTATTAAATACAAGTTTCAAGCTGCGTTGTTCTGATTTTAGTTATATTTCGTTTATTCACACAGTAGCTACATTGTAATAGCTGAAAGCTTGCGATAAAATATATCTATCTTGTCTGGCTAAAAGAAAAAAAGTTTTTGTTTTGACGTTATCCTTTGACTTTAAACGATGCTTTAAGTATTTAGGGACACAACTCTATTTTACATGAACGAATCAAAATGTATGTTTTTAATAGTCAACACAAGGATGGTACACTAACAATCTCTGTGTATTGCTACCATTGGAAATACTTCCTTCATTGTTGATTATACTCAATCTGATAACCATAATTACACTTTGTTGCTAGATGTCGCAACTTACATCGTAACAAGCTTCTGTGAAAGGCAGCGTGGATCAGTCTGAAACAACACATCAACAATTTATCTACAAACCATCTATTATACTTAAACTATAAAACTATGTTAAGTCCATTAGGCCAGAGGATTCTATCTCCTAATTACAGCTTCAACTCTGCGGATCACAATGTTATTCCCGACTTGGTTGCGATATGGGGTTGGGACTTGTTGCTGTCCTAAAAACTCAGCTTTGAGAGTTTTTCTGCATGCACCAAAAACATGGAATGTTCCTTGCTTGGAAATGCTTTGTTTGAACATCTTATGAACAGATAAAAGGTGGTGCCACGGTTCATATGCGGCGATACAATCTCCATAAAGTGTGAATAAAATTATATATATAAGTAGATTTAAGTACTGTTTATTTCGAGTAATAAACCTTATTGTGCAAATTGGATATGAGACCTAGTAACAATATTTATTGACTTATTTATTAAACATCCTAGAAATGTATCGAATAAATTACAGCAAAGCACATCAAAGTATTATGCGTACGTTTTAAACACCAATGAAAGTGTAGATGTATTGACCAAGTTTAACTGATTAGTATAATATACTCGCACTCCGCTACGAGGTTCAAAAGGTACCCCTCCTCCCCCTTCATGAACCATAGAAGCCCCATTGCACTTAAAGCTCTTCCATCATCCCCAACTACTTCTATAACTATCCCAAGAAGGGGGTAGGAGAGGAGTTCATCCCCGAAAACAAACCTCATTAAAACACTCCACGTGGGCCTGAGCATGTGCGCTAGCTAAGTTGTCCCGCTAGCTTGCGAGTGGCGATATGAACATAATTTCAAACATGGCGCCCTCGGGATCTTAGGGGAAGTCGAGAGTACAAAAAACCCATGCCAAACAAAGAAATTAAAAAACATACACTCATAAACATACACACACACATAAAATGTGATTTAATATATGATTACAGCCGAACACGGTTTCGTACGTATATATATATATATATATATATATAAATATATATATATATAGACAGTAAAAGTAGACTAATATAAGTAATTAAACTTTTACGATCGAGTCTTAGTAAACTGTACAGTATCGAAGGTAATACTCAGACTAACTA